CTAAGATAAGTTTCCCAGCTTTGTTGAGCGTGAAAAATCTGCGTGGAAATATTTATTTCAAAATATTTCTTTTGACTTGAACGATTCGATTGAATCGGACCAAACTACTGCATGGAAACTACAATGCCAGGGCTACAGTCGATGTGTTTATGATGTATATTATTAAGCGTCCTGTACTGCAAATGGTTCTGGAAACAAAGTATACCACCCACTGATGTTAACTTCGCAAATTGGTACATTTCGGCTAAACTAAAGGCTGATCGATCATAATACGTCAGCCGTCAAGACAGTTACGCAAAAGACAAAGTGTTTTGAAGTGGGACATATTGAGCGATGTAAATTGCTTTACTTGGCCTATCATCCATTTACTCACGACATATTTTGAAAAGCTTATTGGAAAAGTTAGTCTTGTTTGCTAGGTCGGCTTTCACTGCTGTTTCAAACGAAACAAATAATGGGCAGTATCCCGGTTGCAAATATTACCTCTTGCAACTATATACCACAGAATGTTTCATTAAGCCACGGTAATTAGTTGAGAAATAGTTCTCGATCTCGTGGAGAGAATATAATTTTTAATTGCGTGAAGTTTTCTAGTAATTGCCGGGTCAGCTAATCGAAATAAACAATCCGATTACAGGCATAAAAATCGACGAATATTTGACTCTTGTGAGTCGCAGACTCACCGTGTAACTGGAATTCATCTATACTGTAATATGGACGTTACACAGTCGTGCCCAGAAACTTTTTATGCGGAAAAAAGGCAGCTTTGTTATGGACCGTGCGAATGATGTGTGCATCAAATTGATGGCTTTAAATATATGCATAAAATCCGCGTTAATCCTGAAGTGCTGGTCATTTAAGCAGAGAATGCTAGCGGAAATTACTGTATATATTTTCACGAATCGTTGACTGATGTGGGAAAGTATCATTGCGGGTATCGAAATATGGAACCTTCGAATCAAATTGTTACTACGTAGGCCGTGTTTAAAAGCTATCGCGACCAGCAGCAACACCTGTGCGACTTAAACCAAACAGAGTATGTTAAAAAACTGCCCTGACGTGCAATTATAATTTATAACCCGTGGGAGGTTTAAGAGTCGTAATTTGCTCTGTTTTCAGCGGTCAAGGACGGGATTATCTCATCTGGAATAAAACAATACCTACATTTCCAGCTTAGAGCTGTTGCACTCAAATGGGTTCTGTTGTCAATTGCTACGTCAATCGTGGCTAACCACAATATTTAATCCGTACGTAGGTCCCTTTCGACGGTTGCGTTGTTAATAAAAAGATAATTTCTTCATTTTCTTGTTCTGTGATCAAACATTTTACTCACTGAATGGTTTAAATTTTTGCTAAAATTTAAGATCGCCGCACTGAAAGGCTGACACGATAACTAATCATGTTGGTTGTGATAATTAATACCTAATACTCATTGAGGATTTTGCTGTAGTAATTAACTGATTGAAAGGCAAGTAATTAGACATTTTTCGGTATAAAACTAAATATTTTGCATCGTGTCTTGAATCTTTTAACACCTTTCTCTACGTTATTCACGCCATCAGTCGCAAAGTTGCATATATAGAGGTTGTAATTTGTCAAAATTCACAAGCCATTAAGTTATTAAATATTATAATTAGGCTATGCGTTGAAAATTCGATCAGTTCACACAAGAAACCGGACATTTTAGTGCAAACAAGGTCTATATTGAATTTGTTTGTTTCCGTGTGAACCGCAGCCTTGATAGTTAAACCCGGGTGTTTTTTTACCAGAAATTGGCCCCCAAAATAAGTTTCACACGACTTCTTCACCTTGGGAGGCATTGAAAGACATATATTGTAACAAAATACTGAAAGAGCTCGTATTAGTGCTTTTTAAAGACGTAATTGTACTTATGGAGTGGGAGACGGGACGCTTAAAACGCTTAATTCATTTTGACTGTTGAAGGCTGTTTTTCATCTAGGCTTTTTTTATATGCCCATATGATGCACGGTATTTTCAAAGCCTGGTAAACATCAACGCCGAAGTTGAGATCACGAACTGAATTTACCTTTCGCGGAGAATTTCTGGCGTGGGCAGCGAATAAAATTCGTACGTTTTTGCCGTCAAAGTCCGCTGACAAACACACGTGGGAACCGGCGATGTTGCTAAAGAAAATCAGCTAAAAATCAACGCGATTTACAAATCCGCGGGTTCCGTTGTTTTTCAAATTTGAATCATTAAACTAACAGCATGCCATTTATCAGATAGTGTTGTATCTATAAGTGCAACTATAGTGGTCTTTAATCGAACCCTCATCGTGGGTTAGTGTCTACACCTATAGCCTCGCACCTAGCTGAGAAACGTAGAATTCGTTTCAAATTCCCACGGTTATGTCCAAACTGACTGATACGGTCATAACCGTCTTCTAACTCTCACGATTGACCGACGACATTTTTATTCCGACATCGCGTGAAAGCAAGCAGTACTGTAGATAAAAAATTTCCTGTTTTCAAAATCTGTCGAGTATCGTGCGCGAAACGCAGTCCAAAACAAGCAGAATTCGCGCAGCAATTAGCATATTTTACGATACAATTGTATTCAATACGTAATAATACTATATTTTACTTGGTTTGAAAATCAACGAGAACTAATTTTTCATGCAGACATGTTAAGCCATGCACCAACCACAACTACGCTACTATATTTTTTCAATTGATTAATTAATCAACTAATTAGGACAATGTAATTTGCTGATGGAATTTTTCCTCTTAATTTAATTTGAAAGATGACAGGCAGGAAACATGAGCAGGAGAAACTATATATTTATTCATTAAGAACCGTTAAAAAAACAACAAACTCTGTGAATCGGGTAGACCTTCTGAACTTACCGGATTCCAAAAGTATTTACGAAATGAAGGTTTTCCCTCTCAATACTGAATGGCTAAAAGCAAATATTTCTTCGTCTTGTAAACAAGATTTATATTTATAGGACAACCGAATAGCTCAGGGGTGAGACATCTGTCATCGGGTGATGCTGGTGGTTTTAATTCTACCATAAGCAATAACCGTGGGCGTTCTTTAGGTATAGTTTACACAAAGGGGCATCTGGAGTGGTGCATGGTTTCAGTGTGTCTTCTGTGTGGCAGGAAGAAATCTAGGTTTGTGTTTATTTCTCAAATATGGTCGTTGTGGTCCAGTTGAGGTATATGTCTGAACTACCTGAGAAAGATATCTCAAACGTGGTGGTCCAGTGTAGGTAGTATTCTACAATAAGCTGTCGTGGTTTGTGTCTGAACTATCTGAGAAAGATATCTCAAACGTGGTGGTCTAGTGTAGGTAGTATTCTACAATAAGCTATCGTGGTTTGTGTCTGAATTAACTACCTAAGAAAGATATCTGAGACGTTGTGGTCCAGTGTAGGTAGTATTCTACAATAAGCTGTCGTGGTTTGTGTCTGAACTACCTGAGAAAGATATCTCAAACGTGGTGGTCCAGTGTAGGTAATATTCTACAATAAGTTTTCAGTCAGTCTGGAATACTGAAAATGCAGTATAGTACTATTCTTAACCAAGTTACCGTGGCGATTTTCGTTTATGTTTGCATCACAAAGTGTTTTTTATTCTTCGATGAGTTCTAGCACAGCCCACAACAGTCTAATACACTCAACTGCCTAGTGACCCCTCAAACTTTGTTTTTGAAAACACGTAAATCATCTGGCGTGAGACACAGGTTCTCTTTCGGCAGAGGATTTTTTACATGCCAAACACTGATACAATGTCCTACAACTGAAAGGATTTATGACTGTGAGGCCAACGGCAACGACATTCCTTGCCCTTCTGCGGTCGCCAAACAAGGATGTCAGACAGACTTTCGATCGATGAAGAAACACCCCCGCGTTTAATTCAGTTACGCAACTATATCGTCTTCCTCCTACCCCCAGCACCGTCCGATTCGATGATTTTGTGGCGTTAAAAAACATTGATTTCGTAAGCTAGTTACACGATACCTAATAGGCTTTACCCGGGCAAAAATATTTGATCAAAAATGAAGAACTTCCTCCCGGAGATGATTTGAATTTATATACCACTTGTGGATCACGTAGTGTGCTTCAAGGTGGTGTAAAAACACACACATATGTCACCGGACGATATTCGCCTGTAATAAGAATTTTTTAAAGACAATATCCGCTTACACCCTAAAAACTGTTCTTGAAAGGAGAATAGACCGGCCCAGACCGTTCGTCACCGTTCCAGTGTGATTCCTTTATTTGAAATGAAAGAATGCTTCACCTTTTCGTGATGTTGAAGAATGAAGGGAAACTGTGTGCAAAATGAGTCTTATTAAACAGTGTACAATCATCAAAGATCATTGGCGCTTCACAGCTTCTGGTTTGCCTAAACAATGGCTCTTTTAGACACGTTTTGATTTCCCGTTTACACGCCATAAGTTGCCACAGTAATTGTGCTAAGTATACAGGAAGCCGTGAAAACATTCAAACATTTGTCACACAAATCCCTTCAAAGACACTGGCCCAAACACGCACAACACTTTCTATATTAAAACAAGTAGAAGACCCGTACGTGTGGGCCTTTATTTTGCCTGTGATTTGCTTACACAAGACGAAATCATATCGCCAAGGTCACCTTATAATATAATACATGATATTATTATACCGGAAATCTCAAACAAGCTTTGACCGTGTGAAAATGCATACTTCTGAAAGGCAGAACAATATTGAATTATTCCACTAAAATAATGCGAAAAACGCTTAGGAACCAGCGCAAAACGAAAGCGCGGGCTGACGGATACCCTGATGCACACATCGCGCAAATCTCGGCATTCTAAGGCCGCATTAAGGGGCTTTTAAACGAGGTGTTCGCCCCCCGGTTTCGGTCTCCGAGTGCTTGGGAGACCACGTGCGTCGATTGTTCTGATCGTGCCCTAAATGGTGCGGCTATTGTCTCCACATACCATATATGGAAGCGGTCAATTTTCCCACGGCAAGAAAATCGAAGCTTTATTTCCCACGGACCGATGGCCGCCGCAAGATCGCTACATGTTGACAATTTCGGGCCAATTTTTTTCCGCATTTTGGGGACGTTTCAACTTGAGATTCACGGTACACAAGGCGAGATTATAAACCTTTGTAAGTCTGGGAATAGTACAGCTCTTGGACGCGTGTAAGCTTAGCGATTTCGGGCCAAATCCGCTTCATTTTAAAACTGATTTTAAACACCGTACACATCGATAGTGAAGACAATACGCTCTCAATATGGACGGCTATTACTAACTGGTCTGTTCTCATAAAGGTAGGCTGTTTATTTGAGTACGAAAGCCAACGATATTCGTGCACATAAGGCTGGAGTTTTCACGCGATTTCGGGCAATATACCAGCTGTTTATTATTCATCAAACTCTTTGGATTTCATTCCGTTGACTTTAGTTTATATTAAATAGCAAATTCATTGCCCCCTGCTGTCGCGACAAAAGATGGCTTACAGGCACTGAGTTATTTTCCTCATTGTTTTTGCATTCTAGTTTGCCTTGGAATTGTTTTTGTAAAGAAATAGAGCTACATAAAGACGTCTTCGTTTGTTATGGCAAATCAGGGTTTTCAAAACCCACTCACAATGTACGATTATACATCCTTGGCCACGCTACGGCATCACCCAAATTTTGAATCACAATACACGGCCGAGTTTCCTAAAAGAGCAAGACTCGATTGGAATGGTCCTACACCGAATTCAGGGACGTATGCTGTCTTGAATAACATAAACTACAGAGTTCCGAATACACATTATTCTGAAAATCAGTTGGCCCACCGCGTCGCAAGTACAACAGCTTTTCCAACTTCAAACGAGCCCACTTATGCGGGTAAGTAGAAGCAATGCTTTGATTTTAACGTATACATGTGTACAACACTTTATCGCTTTCCTTCAGTGCTTTACACTTATGGATTTGGCATAAGGTGGCTTTAAATCATACTATTCTGGCAAACTTCGTTGCATACTATGCTACAAAACCTCGCCGATATAAAAACGCAATGCTTCTCAAAATTACTACACAAGTCTTCTACTTGAATAATCGCGTTTTGCTTAAATGGCCTCTACAAACCTCACATTATTATTCTATTAAATTAAGCGAATTATAAAGTGTATCGTGGCTTTCCAAGTGCAATATATATTCTTGATATGCCACAATGAATATTACGTGTCTTCAAAGTTGTTATTTACGCGTTTTTTTCACAGAGAATTCTCCCGTTTCTGCTCGGAATAAAACGTTCAACTTCATCCCATCCGATCATGAATCAAATTCGCTCAAATTCATATTTGCGAGTGCATTAAAAGGCGTTACAAAAGTGTAAATTACTTGCTTGCAAACAGTTCCATCAATACGAAAATACTCAATTACGATAAAAATGTAATAATTACATGGAATTGTTTCAAATTAGACAGCAAGCTGTTTATTTCTCATTTGAAAACGTGTGAATTCTCGTGCGTTTATGGCCTCTAGCGAAACTTGACCACAATGGCTGTTTTTGAAATATTATAACGCCCATCGAGATGCTTCAGTATTGTCGATTGATATTTGCTTCAGTATCGCTTCCCGAAGGGTGCGTTTTCAATCGGAAATTCTTTCTGTTTTGCATAATATGTATTCATGCTATTCACTTCTTGCATACATTTTAATAAGATTAGAATTTTATTGCCGTGGTCGTTCAAACGTTTCTGCTTCTGAACGATTTTCCAAAACAGATTTTTTATATCATCACAGATCCGCACACATTCCTGCTCGAGTTCTAACCGGAATTTCTTTGTAATAAGCGCAAATTTTTATTAAATATTTAGATATTCCATTCCAGTATTAGACGTATATATCTATATTTATATATTTAGAGCTTAATACCAGTTGCGGTTTCAACCGTGTATATGTATAATTATTAATATAAGTCTAATCCCAGCGCAATTATACTTTATCTATTATTATTACCGCTCATATATTAATATTATACGCCTTTATATATCATCATTACATCGACCTAATTCCTCTATCAGACTCCTGTTAATATGCTCTTATACAAGATTGGATTTGCTAAATATTGAGCCAAAATGGCAGTTGGCTTTGGCCCCATTTTCTGACTTCTGAGTCCTGTTTTCAACAGAGGTGTTAAAACTGAAAAAAAATTAGCTCACATATTGAAATGTTGTATAGAGCTTTGTTTATTCAAACTTTGTATATTCAATATTTCATTATTTCTCTTGGACTCAATCCAGCAAATATTTTCACACAGAATGTCATAACTTGGGATTGCCTTGTTTCCTTTATGTTTTGTCATATGTCTCACAGTCTCTAAGGAGTTAAAAGTTTATATCACTTCCCTTGATATTGACTAAAGAACATTTTGTTGTGATGTGGAATTTGTAGTTAAGATTGATTGTCTGTTTTAAGGATCTAAAATGTTTTCCATCTATGAAAGCAATACAGCTGAAACCAGCTGAGAGTTTTTGGGGCTAAATTTTAAACAAAAAACTTAGACGTTCAAACACCAGAAGTACTAATTTACTGTCATTCTAGACAGAGTGAAATACTGAAGTGTTGGATATTAGGGCACATTGCCAAGCTAATGATTTAGTCTGGCAGATTTAAAAGGAAATTAACCTCAAAGTTGTGAATGTTTAGGCTCACATTTGAAATAATTTTGTTAATAATTCTGGTGATATACATAATTCTCAATTCATATCAATTATGAAAACAGATTTAGTTATTCTTATTGTAAAATCTTTTGATGGTATTTGGACTTGCTCCAAGTCTTAATTGAGACTTGATATGGAACTGAAATTGAATGCTGGGATGAGGAAACCTGACAAGAAGCAGGCTCAGATATATGAATCCAATATATGTCACTCTTGAATGAAAAGTAGAATTTGTGTTTCAAGCTTTCATTTGTATTTTTACAGCACATGCCCCATACTTTCCTGCAAAGAACAGAACAAATATCCAGTACTCTATTCCAACAAATGCCCCTCGTGATCCATCAATAAATCGAACCCTCCCCATCAGTCCAGCACCTTCCCCACCACAAGCAACAGAGGAACCTATTGAAAGGTAATACATCAAGTACAGTAGTACCTCACTGTGAAAGATACAAAGAGTGAGGCCAGAAAGATTGCAGTCAACTAATTGTATTCAGTGATTCCAGCCCATAACATGATCCTTATTGGACCTTTTACATTTGATAGAGCTACTGAGTAGAAATAAATGAATAACTTAGAATAAGAGATGATTCTAGGAAAGAACAGTTTAGAACTGATAGAGCTATCTAGTATAAATAAAGTTAGTTTAGGTTTCCTCCTGTAGTAACACTGGATCAATAAGAGGTGATCCTTAGGTTCCTTACTGGACCTCCAGGAAGAAAAGTTTAAAACTGATAGAGCTATCCACTATGATATAAAGTAGCTTTGTTCTAAAAGATCCTACTGGTTTATTTAGCACAATAGAGAGGCCGTCTGGATGTCGTCTTACTCAAGAAGCAATGCGCAAATATCTACAAGATCTTGCGAATAACGAGCTTCTCAATCAAACTGTTATCATTCTTCATGCGAAAGTCGCACAAAAATCGTATGGGAATGAAAAAAGGTAAGACATCAAAATTTCCGTAAAAGACGATAGGACAGATTCTTCTCGAAACGCCAGCAGCCGGAAAGCTTACTTCTCTTTCAGACAAACTTAACAATTAAACTAAGGCCAAAGCAAGTGGATTTACCTTCGTTTGAATAGCGCTTTTGCGGCTGAATTTTTTCATGGTTAAGTAGCAAAGTGCGTGTCAACGATTTGAGGGTTTTTTGACAACTAAGACTATTGGTAAACTGGAACTCTTCAACGCAGACGAGATTATGCCTTTGGCTTTGGATATACTTGTTTTAAACTCTTCTTGAGTACTTCTTATAAAGAAGCCGGTCGATGTATGAACGAGACCAAACATCAGTGATTTAAGCATAACAGAATTGTCCACAGACTTTGTGGATAGGCAAGGGGTGCAATTGTAACACCTTTACATAGAGCCGCGCCCCAAGGGGGATCGGGGGGGGGGGTTGCTGAAAATCCTGTGTCAAGTTGGTGGGCGCTTATTCTGCTTTTGTAAAAATTTGAAGAGGCAGCCTTTTTTTATATGTTATCAGTTAAAAAAGCAGCCATTTTGCCGAAGTTCGCTCTGCTGGTAATATCAGTCTTCCCCCTTGCTAAAATTGTGCCAAAACACCTGGGCAGTTTTAAATGCATATGAAAATCTTTTATGTAGGTTTTTCTGCCCACCGCCTTGTCTATATTTGGTCGGACAAGGTTGGAACTGCCGGAAGAGTTACAGCACCACTTCGAAAGAGCGCGACAAGGATTCGGAAACTGTCGCTTTCATCGGAATATCAAGTGGGAACCATGGGGAACACGAGTATCAGCAGTTGTCAATGGAGGATAGACTTGTTGATAAGGTAGAGGTTTTATTGTTACAGCGGCCTACGTGGATAGTTTCCAATCGCTTTTTTAATCCCATTACTAACCAGTTCACATATAATACATGACAGCGTCTTTTAACAACTTCACATCAAATGTGGAAAAAAAACTGCCTAAAATATTCAAAACACTTCTCGAAGTTTCGAGCTATAGCGAGCCTTTGTCAGGAGAGTCCGTTTACTCGCGCAGTTCAATGCTTAGCAGAGATTGAACGATATATATTACAACTAAGGCGCATTTTAGATGGCTTGTATAGTTTTCCTCAACGAGTTCTTTTCTTGTTTCAGAAATACTGTTACGGTGCTGCAAAAACCTTGTTCATATCCGACACAGATAAAAGAAAGAATTTTGTACTGTCTGTCAAAGTAGGTCGATGAAATATCTTGTAAACGAATGAATTAAGTGCAACCTCACGACGTCAAAACATTCCTAACTTTGTGTTGTTTTAAATTCTAGCTTCATCATCCGAATGGCGACGCTGTTGGTGTCTTTAGCTCGAAAAGGATTAAGGTTAGTGGAGTTTTCGAAGCTGTGCTGTTTTAAAAAACGATGCAAATTATTGAGCTTTGCTTTTTGGCGTTGCTCTGCAGGTCATATCCAAACCATCGAAGAAAAAGCAATCGCTAAAGAACGCTGAACGTAAGTAAAGAGTTGTTAAGGATAAATTAGAGCGTATTTTGTTCTTGGTGGGCTTTGGCGAGAGCGAAAATCGTCAGGATATGTGTGGTGTTGAATTTCGAGAGCTTAGACGAGAAAATGGCTGTTATTTTTTAGTCTGAATCGGACTGACGTTTTATATTTTCGTTGCAGTATGTATCCAATCTGGCACCACAGTCGCGCTCTTTAACCGCCTACGATCACAGACCGTAAGCACCCGATACCTCCATGTGGAGGATGGAAATTTTCGAGCAAGTAGCACGCAATGGGGAGCATTTACGATTCATTTACGTAAGTAGGGCTATTTGAAGATTGGCCACCAGGCAGTAAATGTGATTTCGCAACACATGCTAGTAGTCCAGTTAAGACTGAGATCCCATCTGACGACCTCCCCAATTTTTAATCATTCTCGTAATTTAGAGTATTTCCCTGAAATTCCTTTTACCTGTTTTATAGTAGATGATGATGAGTCTGAAAGTGAAGAATTTACCGTCAAAGATGGATACATACATTATGGTTCGACCGTTAAACTGGTTTGTTCTGAAACTGGCATGGCTTTACCAAGACTTGTAAGTTGCTTATCTGTTTTTCTTTTTCAAGCTCATAGCTCTATCAGTTCTAAGCTGCTCTTCCTAGAGGTCCAGTAAGGATCATCTCTTATTGATCCAGTGTTACTACATTTAAAGTAATCCTTATTAAGGGGTTAATCCTAAAAATTCATTTTACGTTTTGCTTTCAGATAATTCGTAAGGTTGACAAACAGACTGCATATTTAGATGCTGATGATCCAGTTTCCCAACTTCACAAGGCAAGGTTTAAGAATTTGAAGTGGTATAGTTAGTTCAGCTATAAATCAAAAGTCAAGTGGTCAAACCCTGTTGTGTCCTGCTCAATTTCTCCTTCCTGTGAGAAAGTAAACTCGTGGTATTTCTCCTTCGAAATTCATGAGAAATCTAATCGTGTCATCTCCGCTTTGTGTCTCACTTTACAAATACACCTTTGCATACACAGATTAAATTTTAAGCTATATGAACTAGTCTTGCAAACTAGGTTAACATCTGCAATATTCCTAAGCTGTTCTTCCTCATTTAATTTGTGGTGTTGTCCTTTTTCTTCCAGGTGGCTTTTTATATGAAAGATACTGAACGAATGTACCTTTGTTTATCGCAAGAGCGAATTATTCAATTCCAGGTAAATATCTTAGAACACAGTCAAGATGATCGTTCACGGGTCATGCTTTACGACAGGCTTACTCAAATTCCTATCTCACTGATTTAGTCGACCCCCTGCCCGAAGGATCCTAAGAAAGAAATGATTAACGATGGGGCCTCGTGGACAATTATAAGCACGGGTATGTATTGAACAAGTGAACTTGTTTACAGTGACTTTTAATATAGTTAGGAAATGAGAAGTGTGGTTGAAGGTTGAAGGTTGAAGGAAAGCTTGCAAAGCACTTTTCAAACTATTTTCATTGCGTTCTCTTATGGTCGTAGTGAATATCCAGGTTCAATAAATTTCCATCGATGTTTGTGTCTTTTGTGGTAGTTTACCTCGACGTCTTTTTGCATTAGAGTAATCTTATGGTTGTTATTTAATCCCTTGATAAAATTGGTCTGTGTCTTATTTATGCATTCACTACGTTTTAGACCGAGCGGAGTACACATTCTACGAGGGCATGGGTCCCATATCGTGTCCCATCACTCCAGTGCCTATAGTGTCACGGCTCGAGTTGAATGGCGGTGGTGATGTTGCGATGCTGGAGTTGACTGGTCAGAACTTCACTGCAAATCTAAGAGTCTGGTTTGGAGACGTCGAAGCAGACACAAGTTACAGGTATGTAATTTACTTGAGTGGATGTACAAGAGTACTGTACAGTGGTACTGTATAGTGCTTCACGAGTAAATCGTGTAGCTCTTTTGAAGAAAAATATGATGAGACAAATTTTGTTCTGACATGAAACATTGGGTCTAAATGTTTGTGAGAAAAGAGTGGGAGAAAACCGCGTTCCCACTGTGAGATATCACGGACTTTGGGTCTGCGATATCTCATAGTGGGAACGCCGTTTCACACGGTACACGGACGCATTGAACTATATAAGACAAACAAATATTGCTATTTAAAAGCTGTTTTCCAGCTTCGCACCTTGGCCACCGTATTTGGCCGTGTGTTTACTTTGCGTGGAAGTACTAGGTTCTAACCGGATATAAATTGGCTTCAAACTTCCGGCAGCAGCTATCCTTCCATCTTATATAGTTCAATGCACGGACGTCATCAGCAAGGGCTTGACCAGGGGGGGGAGCTCGTTTGCACAAATACAATGTAGTATTTTGTTGACACAGCTGGAGAATTGCGTCACTTTACTTTGTTTTACGTTCCCTTGTAATATTTCTCATTTTTCTCCAGGTGTGCTGAAAGTCTTCTGTGTCTTGTCCCGGACATCTCAGCATTCCAGTGCGCATGGAAGTTCGTACGTCAGCCGACCCAGGTCCCCGTCAGCCTGGTGCGCAATGACGGGATCATTTACCCTACGAACCTGACTTTTACCTACACGCCCGAAGCCGAGGAACGACCTCGATGCATCGAAGCGAAGGTCATACGAAAGGGCTTCTCATCGGCGAGTTCCGATGCTACCCTTCGCGATGACGTCACCTCTGGTGTCCAACGATGACGTCATAATACAATATTTCTCGTAATCTCGTGATGTATTTGATGACGTCGACGTCGTTACGTCACGTGATCATGCTGGCGATGTCACGTGGTAGAAACGTTCCTCATCGGTGATGTGATGTCTTGGTGACGTCAGTGAAATGGCGTATAGTGACGTCATTTGATGATGTCACTCGAATATAAATAGAGCGCTATTTCTCGTGTTTTTAGATGTCATAAAATGACAGTTGTATATATAAGCTAATGTCAGCGAACATGTAATCTCGATTGCGACAATAACGACTCGATTAAGGCCACTATATGATGTCATGTGATTACATTCTGACGTCATCAGCGAACTAACAAGAAAGGTGTAATATAACTTTATTTGGAAACTGTTCGACATATTCTTTAGAGATATTCATAGATCACTTGCTATCACACAGGTTTCGAAACAAGTGCGTGCAAGTGACGGTATTAGGTGTTGAAAGTTCAACGTGGTTTGATATTTTATATGCGTTCAGACGATAAAACATTAAGAGAGATGTTATGTTATCTTCATCTTAAATGTATATACGTTCATTCAGTATAATACTGAAATTGTAAATAAAGTTCTGGCCTGTTGTAAGGCCATTTGTAGATTTCTTATCCGACTGTGTTTCATCGTTTTTTATCCTCAGGACCAAAAGGCCGGCAACGATTTGTATAACGATAAAAACTCCGAAATTAATGCCGGGTAGCGCTGTCGGTTCTAAACTGTTCTTTCTAGAGGTTCAGAAAGGATCATCTCTTATTGATCCAGTGTTACTACAGAAGGAAACCTAAACTAAACTAACTTTATTTATACTGGATAGCTCTATCAGTTCTAAACTGTTCTTCCTAGAGGTCCAGTAAGGATCATCTCTTATTGATCCAGTGTTACTACAGGAGGAAACCTAAACTAAACTAACTTTATTTATACTGGATAGCTCTATCAGTTCTAAACTGTTCTTCCTAGAGGTCCAGTAAGAATCATCTCTTATTGATCCAGTGTTACTACAGGAGGAACCTAAACTAAACTAACTTTATTTATACTGGATAGCTCTATCAGTTCTAAACTGTTCTTCCTAGAGGTCCAGTAAAGATCATCTCTTATTGATCCAGTGTTACTACAGGAGGAAGCCTAATAAAAATCGATATTTTTGGAATGCGTGTTAATGCAATGCGCACTATGTGGGAGTCGTTTTAGTCAAGTCATTAATAGGTGAATAATTATCAACTATTAATAGGTCGCTAGCACAAAGGAATATGACCAGCGTTGCTATTTAATCGTTAGCCCACTTGGTTACCGCAGTTATGGTTTAAGCCCGTCAGGCAGTCGTAAAATTTTGAACTTGCATATGAATTGCATAATCTCGTATGCAGACAAATCCTATATTTCTGTCAGTGCCGGACACTAGAAAAATATTAATACTTTTCCGGCGGAACTCGAGTGTGGGAAAAAACACTGTTCCAGAATTTGAGAAGCTAATTTATTCGCAAACTAATAGGAAACATTTTGGCCTTAAAAACGGAGAATTTGTATCTCAAAGATTTTACAACATGTAACGATTCAGTTATGCTATGCAAATTTTATGTTATTATCAATATTCATTTCTTTAGAAATTCATTGTTTTCACAGTCAATGAACACCAAAATATTCGCATAGCATGACTAAATTGCCGGGTTGTCTACACCACTTGTCAAAGAAAAGATCCCGGTATAAATTTTCAATACACAATTTTACATTTTTACCAGTTTGAATTTCAGTCATGATAACTTGAAGAATCATCCAAACTTGAAACTCCCACGATTGTTGACATGCCTGAGGTAAACTTTTATTTATTCGGATGCTGTCTTAGCGGGAAGCCACAGAAGATTACTGCTCTGACGTAGAACATCAGTCGGCTCCGACTAAAAAATTTATGCAACGAAAATATTTCTCACCCCGCACAGAACGTCTTGATTATCTCTACAAAAGAGTACAGCAAGGTTGCACCTAGCTTTGAGTGGTCTCAATGCTACTCCGTCGTGCTAGGGCTATCTTCCAGACCAGAAGCCCGGCAAGGGTTGAATTTTGGAGACGAAACAACCCGGTTTAAGGGGTCATTCCGGCTCACATAAACACCTTCCAGTAAATTAACATGACAACAGCATATTTGAATAAGACATTCTTATAAGTATATGCATTCCTCTAATTGACGTCAAATATTTCAAGCCAGTTAAACTCTGCATGTTTTAGTTGATAGAAAAGATTCAAAGTCAGATGATCTTATAGCATTTCAGTGTTTTTCTTTGAAGTCAAATGGTTGCCTTACGTCAAGTTCTTTCATTCCTGTTCTTGGTTGGTTGGTTTTCATGTGGTCTAGCTAAAGATGCCCTGTGCGATGGTATGTGATGTAAATAGTTCGTTTTTCATCTCAAAGTGCAAGTATGTTTTAAAGGTATATTCTATTACCAACTCAAAATTTTGAACTACAGTCGTAAAGGGTTCCATTCATATGGATATAAACGACGATACAGCATTCCGTGTGTCTGGTAGACATCATTCCATACCGAGAACTGGTTTGAGTACTGAGACTAATTAAGTTATCATTCCTAAACCATAACAGCTTATATTCTAGTAATTATGGCTGAAAAGGTACACAGTCCTTTTAACTGTGGTAGACTGCATATAAACGTACATAAGCCATTCACACCAGGATTGTCTTCAGATGTGTATGAGGAATCGTACTGGTTGAGTCTAGTTCGTAGAACTACCGACTGTTATATTGCTTTTCACACATGTAAGCGTAATTAGTAAGCTATACAGACGTTTTGCAATCGAGTTGTAAGCTTGACAATGTATCACCTATTAAGTGTGAACTCCTCTGTACAGGTCTTTTCACGCGTTTCAATTAGTTTTGTTGCCGGGATCCAATTCTGATCAACAACGTTTTATATAGTCTGTTGACTTGCAATGTAAATGAGCAGCAAATCAACTCAAGCCAGCGCAGAACTGCTTTATCATTCACAAGATAAGATAGGAGTGATAGAAGTGATCACAAGATAGAAGTGAATTGGATTCAACAAAATTGGATTGTGTGAACCAGTGTGAACCGACCCAAGGACAAAAGCATTTTTTTTCTTGTGAAATCTCTCAATCGCTATCATTATTACAGACTGTACTGATATTGCATGCATCATTGAATATTTAAAAATAACAGTCCTGGCCGACAAGGGGGTCTTCAACGTTTTGTATAACTGTTTTGCTATTCTACAGTGTTTAATTGTGGTTACTGGTTACAGTAAAGACTCCTCTACCAGCAAACCACCGTTAGAACCAAAGACGAAGTGAATTTTCATTTGATATACGACTGATTTCTACGAACAATATGTAGACCGTAAAAAAACGCAACGCAAATTTTTCATGAATACAATCTTTTGTGATCGAATAGACGTCGACTAAAGCCGCGGATATTCTCTTAAATATTTATAGTGTTGCTTTTATTGGTACAGCCTGTACAAGGTATATAAAAAACGCACACGAAATATTAATGATATTCGCTCTCTGATCATGCATGATTCGATCACATGCAAAGATAAAATATTCATGAATGTATTTAGCTGCGGTTTTTGATGCATTCTGTATACGACATATTCTGATTTGTATTGTATTAACATGAATTTAGACCACTGGCACTGCACGTGTAAATTCTTTTGTATTTTTAAAACTTTTTCATATATTTGCGCTCGTATTTGTGTTTTGCACGTACCGGATTGTAAAAGGTAAAAGCTTTTTTTTCTAGATATATTGATATTTATTTATTTTTTTAGTGGCAGAAATATATTTGATTTGATTCCTCATAGAACATATTTTTTATATTTTAAGCTTCCCTAACTATTCCGACGGGAAAATGCTGCAACAGGGAGTATGCCCGGTATTGTTGTTCCGGCATACCCGTGTGTGCTGACGGGGGAAACGCCACCGTGGAGAAAGTAGTTTTCAAAACTAACCCCTGTTCAACACCGTGGAATCTTAGCGCGTGCATTGGCGGGTATTATTCAAAAACTGGTTCAGATATTCTGCCGTGTCCTTCAGGTAGTTATTATTGTATTCTACATATCTGTAAAGTTTCAAGTAAGGATATCATTTCTGTATATAGTGTCCAACGGACTTTATGTTCTTGTAGGTTATTTTTGTGAGGAAAACAGCGTGTGTCTGAAGCCGTGTCCGATGGGCGCGTATTGTATTCAAAACGTTCTCGTAAGTAAGACGGGCTGTTTACATGAGCCCGGTTACCCGAGATTCAACGAAGCGTGAGTCCTAAAAGTCTAAACCCTGTCATATTTGAAAAAGCTGCGTAGATAAATCGATAGAACTTAGTTTTGCAAATATTCTAGTACGCATTTGTTGACCCATTCGTTAAATAATACCATTCTCGAAGCATTTAAAGTTTTCGACGTGTAAAGAAAACGGTGACAGTGGAAAACAGCCCTAGCTAACTGTGTATTGTATTTTAATCTACAGGCAAAGAACAAAACATCATGTTCAGGATTTGAGAAATGTTGTCTTCCTTCAGGATTCGCACCTATTTTCAATGAATATACAAACTCGCTGACCTGCCCTGGTCAGTTTTACCCCGAACGATGCCTCACAGGTAGCTACTGTCCAAATACTACGACCCAGCTGACCTGTCCTGCTGGGTATTTCTGCCGGCAGGGAAGTCAATACCCGGTTAAATGCATGGTAAGTGAACTAAGGTTAGTTGAAGCTATAGTTATAACTCTCTGCCGAGTTAGCTGTTTGATAATGAAAGACGAACTAGCCTAGATTTACACAAGCATTAATGGCTTAGCCTATGAATTAAGTCTCCTGCCAAGATTAGACTGCATCGGATTTATGCCAAGTCTTTTTGACAAATGTGTAAAAACGTTATTTTTTTCTATCCACTGTTTCTATCCAACGGCCTTTGTAGTTCGTACAAATGGTTACTGAAATTCTCGCAAACTTCAAGGCACACAAGACATCGTTTTTGAACGACTTTCATGCTCTTCGCAAAATTAACTATAGTTGCAAACACTATCCGTGTTCAACAGCAAGTTGCTAAAGTTAGTGTTGTTTCAATGTAGTCTATATTTAATCGCTGTTTCCACTAGAGTCCTCTCCCTATATAGATCACGTAAACAAGAGCTAAATAACGTTTTTAGAAACTCGAAGACGACGGCTGTGCATGTAATATATTGTTGGTATGATTTGTTTTTCTCATTTTTCTTTCGCAAGGCTTTGTCCTCGTGCGATGAAGGAGGCAGTTCACCCAACACGCTGGTTGTCGGACTTATCATCAACGCTTGTCTTCTGATATCGTTTCTCCTTCTTTTGTTCTACTTCAACAACCGACGAGCGTTTCACTTCTACGTTGATCTCCACATACGGCGGTTGCGAGGGAACCGCAAACCGAGCCAGAAGTACAACCTGAAAGACGGTATGCGGTTGGCCATGCAGCGCCTGGATAAGTGTAATTGTCCCGGTGATTTTGAGAAAAATGTCGTCAAAAAGGACAGCTATAACATCAGTTTTGAGAAATTGAGTTTAACTTTGACAACGGTAAATCACACACTTAATTTGTAAATGGGGCGATTGAGGGCGGATGCACGTCGTTTCATTAAGACAAAGTGAATATATTTTTCATCTATCGGTAGGGTGAAAACAAGGGAAAAGTTTTGTTACAAGGAGTCACTGGCGAAATAAGAGCTGGCGAGGTTACCGCTGTCCTGGGTCCTTCTGGCGCAGGGAAAACAACATTTTTAAATGCCCTATGTGGCAAAGCTTATTATGGTGTAAGTATACCAGTACTAAAACCACGACAGCTTATTGTAGAATAGTACCTGCACTGGACCACAACGTTTGAGATATTTAAGAAGTCGTTTTATCGATTTTTTCAGGATGCCGGTGGAACAATACGAATTAACGGAAAGAAGGTGTCTGGTATACAAGATTATAAAGGTTTAACGGGATTTGTGCCACAGGTAAGACTGAGAAAACTTTCCAAAAACCTACACCCCTCCCGGCCCCCATGCATTTTATGAAAAATATCTAGTTTTATCTATTATGTTCATCTGGTGTTTGGTCATTTTATCTTTACATTATATACGAACACCTGTCCTGTTTTGACGCATTTGACTGTAAAGACGACTGTCGCTAAAGCGGTCAAAACATCAATGAGACAACACCAACAGCTCACCTATACGGCGCCAGTCCTTCCCAGTACACTAACCTTGAGTATCAAAATCCACAGACATATCTTCAATGTTTTTCCTTAGGATGACATCATGCATCGTTCTCTAACTCCGGGGGAGGTCTTCTACTACAACGCTGTGCTACGGTTGCCACCGTCTTCTGATCCTAATCGCTATAAGAGTGTCGTGAAACAGGTATTGATGATGTTGGTATTGATTTCAGTGTTTATTGCCTCTGTAGTGTTGGTACGTTCTTGATTGGGATTCATGAGTTGTCATAAGTCACTTAAATCAGTTTAATGCTTTTTTTGCTCCAGTATAGTTTGGAAGAAACTGATCGTGAATGCCTTGACAATAATTTTTTAACTTATGATATATACAAACATAGTTTTGTATTTCTTGAATTCTTATTTTTTCATCCCACTAGTGTTGTTGTTTGCAACTAAAATTATGTTGAATTTTGACCTCTACAGACGCTAACACTCCTGGGCCTCAAACACGTTGCAAACACACAAATTGGAGACGAGGTCAGTGCAATGTTTGACCATGGCAAGGGCCAATGATCACGGGCCAACGTTAGCCCCCAATTCACTATTTTTGAATGGCTAGTGACACTGTTTGTTCATACTCATCTCTCACCCCCCAACCCTTCCTCCTTCCCGCCTTAAAATCGTTTTACCGACTTTGGACGTATTATTTAAAGAGAAAGGGTTGCAGGCATGAAAGTGAGAAACAGATATTTAGGACTTCTACTTTTGAAACGTACATAGGCTTTACGATTGGGCGACGTACATCGCCTTCACGATTGGGTATATTATAGCAGACTGAACGTTGTGATGCTTACGTGCTTGCAGGAAACTCGCGGTATTTCAGGAGGACAGAGAAGACGTGTGAACATTGGTATGGAATTAGTGGCTGATCCAACCATTTTGTTTCTTGATGAACCAACCACGTATGTTTAAAGTACAGAATAGCTTTATATCATCAAAATTAGAATCCTAGATGTCTGGGATTGCGATATAAACTCTAATCCAAACATGCAATTTGCAAGTCAAATTGTATATATTAGTAAAAATAATCTGCTTTATCTCTGCAGAGGTTTGGACAGTTCATCCAGTTTGTCTGTCGTGCAGTCGTTAAATTGGGTGGCTTCAAAGACTAATATGACGATATGTTGCGTGATTCATCAACCACGATTTGAGATTTTAAGTGAGTCTTAGGAGGATGAGTAATGTTAGATAAAAACTGAGGGGATTACATTGGGGTAGGGAGGGGAATAAGGGAAAAGATGGTGGGGTGGGAAGAGAAAGAGAGAATGAAGAGAGGGTGTGGAAAGGGTGAAGAAAGGGGCTGAAGAATTGAGGGAGGGAAAGAAAAGTAGGTGGGCGAAGGAAGCCAGGAAGGAGGGAAAGGGGAGAGGAAGGAAGGGGGGAGTGGCAGGGTAGGAATGGAAAGGGATGGGATGGGTTAAAAGAGAAAGGATGAGGGCAGATTAGTAGGGTTGGTTGTGGGGGGGATTGGAAGGAAATTATGTGGGAAGGGGAAGAAAAGAAAGACAAGGGAGAAAAGAGAGGAAGGGGGGAGAATGGATATAAGGAGAAAGTGAGGAGGGAAGAAAAGAAGGGAGGATGGAAAGGAGATAAAAATGAAGAGAGGAGGTAGATAGTAAGCAAGGAATAATGTACGTGGGAAGTTGGAGGTCAACATACAGATTTGGATGAAGAAATTGTAAAGTAAAACTGCAGTATAGAGTACTTTGAGATATATAAATATCAAATAACTTAATAGTAGTGGTAAACCATCCCCATATCTTTTAGAAATGTTCGACAGAGTTTTATTTCTTGGGCAAGGCGGGAAAACTGTCTTTTCTGGGCCGGTGGAAGAAGCTGAAACGTATTTTTCTAAAATTGGTTTTCCTTTGCCACCCTACGTGAATCCTGCCGACTTTTACATGGACGTCATCGCTGGAGCGGTGAAAAATGAGAGAAATGTTTACATTAACCTATTCGAAGAATGGGAGAAACACAATCACATGGTTGTTGAAGACATTGTCTCTGAAGTTGAGGAGTTGGACGCAGAAGAAAAAACGAAAGAAGAAGGGGCGCTTAATGTGGATCACAATGAAGATGATTCAAAGAACATGGGAGCAAATGGCGTGGATGGAAACAACAGCACGGCTGGCCAAATTCAAAGTACTCCCTTGAACAACAACATGTCTGCCTCCAGACCAAGCAGTCAAATTCTTATCAATGTAAAAGAAGCAAGCAGGACTTCTGATTCCACCGGTATTTGTTGTTTAACTTGCTTTTATATCGGCATTGGACGATTCTTTCACCAGAGATATAATTTGTCTATATTACTCGTTCACTTTTGAACTCGTTTATTTTCTTCTTATTTTAGAAAATAATGTGGTTGATATTGAACAATCACCTCGTCAATCTTCCATACAAGACAGCGAGTCAGAACCTATAGCAAAACCTAAATTCATTCGACCAGGGTTCTTCACCCAACTTCTGGTGTTTATTAGACGGGAGTTAGTGCTTCAAATGCGCATGTCCAAAACGTTATTGATAGATCAAGCTTTGACAATGATGGCTGGTGCTGTACTGGGTCTTCTGTTCCGCGAGGTGAGTTTGGTTTAGTATTGCCTGTAACAAGACTGTACGTATCTTACTCCTTGGGAGATGGCAATATCCTCTGCGCGCTGGGATAAAATCAGTTTAAATAAACTTATCTAATACTGATGTTCTTCTTCTAGTATTATTAAACTCCTTTCCTACAGATATTCTCTTTAATGATCCAGTGTTACTACAGGAGGAACCCTAAACTAAACTAACTTTATTTATACTGGATAGCTCTATCAGTTCTAAACTGTTCTTCCTAGAGATCCAGTAAGGATCATCTCTTATTGATCCAGTGTTACTACAAGAGGAAACCTAAACTAAACTAACTTTATTTATACTGGATAGCTCTATCAGTTCTAAACTGTTCTTCCTAGAGATCCAGTAAGGATCATCTCTTATTGATCCAGTGTTACTACAAGAGGAAACCTAAACTAAACTAACTTTATTTATACTGGATAGCTCTATCAGTTCTAAACTGTTCTTCCTAGAGATCCAGTAAGGATCATCTCTTATTGATCCAGTGTTACTACAAGAGAAACCTAAACTAAACTAACTTTATTTATACTGGATAGCTCTATCAGTTCTAAACTGTTCTTCCTAGAGCTCCAGTATAGATTATCTTTTATTGATCCAGTGTTACTGCAGGTTTCGAATGAACACTCACGTGAAACTCGTAAAAACAGGCTGTCAGTTTATAATAAATTTCTCCCATTTTCAGGTATATATATACGATGTTCATGAGACTACAGTTTTAGGAAACATTATAGCCGGTCTGGCTGCGGTAGTCGCTGCAACGAGACGGTTTGGTCAAAGCAGAGTTGTTTTCTGGAGGTAATTATATTTTATTATCCTTTTGCACAGGTTGAAATACACAATGTGCCTGAATCTACTGTATTTGGGAACATAGCTGTGGGTCTAGTCGGCGTTGTTGCCGCTTTACGTCGTTTTGGCCAACATAGAATTGTTTTTTGGAGGTACGGTGAATTACATATTACAGTATAACCCTTATCCAAATGGTTATTAAAGGTCTCCAAAGATTTCCCTTTCTCCCTGACCAAGGTAATAAAAATATTCGTAATTTAACCCACTTTGACTTTGCTAGTCAATAAATTAAGCATGTTGTATGTCCCCACGGGTGTAAGTACTATTCTGTAAAGGTTGAAAGGTAGAATTGTCTTAATTCATTGATTTTAATTTCAGAGAGAGTGCTGCTGGAATAAATCGTGTTAGTTACTTTTGTGCTGTCAACCTGGCCTACATTCCTGTCTTGTTGATATCGCCAGCCGTTTATCTCAGCATCTACTACAGCATCGCTGCTTTCTTAGGTATTGTGAATGGTCTTCTTTAGTTTTTCTTTTATGTCTCCTCAAAGGATGACGTCCCAAGCTACTGCAATATTGTTTCAGGGCCATTTGCACTGCATTACGCAGTATTTCTTTGTGCTTGGTATTATCTTTCTGGTCTGGGATACACAATGTCTCTGATGATGACGCCAAGAAACTCTCAGATGGCTGCCATTGTTACCGTTGTCATAATGGCTTTGCTATCAGGTAAGACCACGTTTATTATCCTGCAAAAATTTGCGATTAGAACTTGTTAACGTGATTAGACTTATCCCTAAGAATTTTCCCCACTGAAACAAAATTCCCCGACATTGTGTTTAAATGCAAACTGTCAGTGAGTAAAACTTTCACTGCTTTGGGATAGTTTGGATTTGTCCATTTCCACTGATTCATCGAATTAAGAACAGGCATTTGTTAAGTACTGCGCACGCGTCATCCCTCGATCGTTTCCTGAGACATCTTCTGTCCTATACATTCTTAAGGTGGCTCTCCCGAGCTGTGTAAGTTAGACGACACGTTCATAGCGACAGCCTTCTACAACTTATCGTTCTCGAGATGGGTTGCCGAGGCGATATTTGAGATCGAAGCAGCTGAAAATTCCGAAGTTCTGAGTGACATCATCAGCCGGGTTCAGATGGACAATCACTATGACCTGAACAGCTACAATATATGCATCGGGGCTCTGCTCGCTCTGGGGACTGGGTTCAGATTAATCGCTCTTTTACTGCTTCTATTCACCAAGAGAGGGCACCAAAAGTAGGAGATTGGTAACGAGGCTTTTCACACCGAAGGTAAATTCATAATATTGAATGTGGATTTTAAAACAGGGCCCTGCAGAAGTAGCAAATCGGCAGGGGTGCATTTAAACATCTCATTTAGACAGCTCATTGCTGCAATGCACTGACCGATAGACCCTTCTTAGAACGAGGGCCTTAGATAATACAATTATGCTAAATTATTTAACAATGCCGGGAAAGGCGACTGTGTCGTTAAAACTTCTGAAGCTTTTAAATAACCTCAGCAGATCGCCCGAAGTGCGAATTTTATATCTTTTGTGAGAAATTCTAATTTTCTCAGGTTTTTCCCCTGTCTGACTAATATTTAAGTGAACCGAAATGATATCTCATATTATAACCATGAACATAATTTTTACTGTACATATTTTACGCTGTAAATAAATTATCTACTCATTTCCAATTTTCATATATAAATTGAAATTTAATATCACTTTATATACTGTACAGTGACGTAACCAGCCTGACGATTTCGTCATACTGTGCAAATTTTATGTTATTATCATTATTCATTTCTTTAAAAATTCATTGTTTTCACAGTCAATGAAAACCAAAATATTAGCACAGCATGACTAAATTGTCAGGCTGGCTACGCCACTGTTTATAAAGTTTTTTAAATATCTATCTTTTTAAAATCATCGATAAATTTGCTTAGTTCCAAATATATGCTGTTATATTTTTAAGCATGTGGTTGTATACTGACTCAGTATTGGGTATAATTATGACTTAAATGGAATTGCCTTGAGATTCTCTCATTCAGTGTGAAAGCAGACATTAAATTTCCAGGAAATTGGAATGAATGTTTAACAGCAGCTGCTGACGCCAATTAACGCGTCTTTTTTATCTTCGCCGATGACCGTCAACGACCTGGCTACAGCAATTAAATGCCTCCCACTTCAGTGCAATTAAAAAACATCAGCACTTATTGAAGATGCCTTTATTCGTTCAATGAAATGTATTCATATGCCAAAAATAAGATCAACTGATGCAATTAAAAATATACTCTTTGCCCGTGAAACGTCGTATGATTAAACACGCCATCTTGTCCAGGCAAGGGTTCTTTTAAATAAAGCAATATAAAGAATTTAATAGAATAGGAAATGCTATCTAAATTGTAAATATTAAAATTTTTATAAGATTTTTCTCCAGACGTTTCTTGCGAACAGAATATCAGTCTTTATTAGACGATGGATAAAAAGATGAAATACTCCAACGGAAATGATATTCTTTTCCCAACTTACCGCAAATTCCTGTACACCTGTATGGCTAAAAAAAGGCAGTTGGACGTTGCCTATTAAGGGAGCTGCTATCGCAATTTGAAAGGCAGCGCAGCTTTTTACAATTAACAGCTCGACAGCCTCGACTTGATCATAAGGTACAAACATTCCTTACAGTCATGGAGACCATGACGTTTTCCTGTGCTCTTTATCTATACATACGCTTTAACTGGACAAAAATATAACACCCTCTCTATTCAAATTATATGCAAAGTTTGCCTCCAATCTAATTGGAGTAATTGCATTCCGAACTTCGATGAGTATGTAACTGCAGATATCATACGTGTGATTTCAATTCATTAAACTCGCGATTAAACTCATTAAAAGGCAGCCTTGACATTTTCAATTCAATTTCATTGGAGGATTGATCCTTGCACGAATATATTCAATGGTTTTGGCCTTTTCAAATTCAAATGAAGGTTTTCAAACACATCGGATTATTACTGGTTTTGCTCCATTGCATTTCTTTGGAAATTCTGGCTAAAGATCCTCTATGTGAAGGTACTTATAATTTTGTATACCGTTTTAATAACACACGCAAAATCTTGCTTTGTTTCTGGAAGCTTGTAATATACGAGAACAGTTTGCTACTGGTTTGTGCTGATTGTTTAAGTCCAAGCTATCTCGAAATTTGATTCAGAAGTGTTTGTGTCATTTACCTACCAATCAGAAGCGATTTGACTAAAATATGGAGGGCTATGGAGTAACTGAACGTCGTTATGGATTAATGTCCGAAGAAGTCAGAAATAATTACGTCTATTTAGCAGGCTAAGTATATTGCAGACAGCACTGCAGTTTAGTCTTAACCTTCTACTTAACGATCACTGCACTATCATCTGCTCAACATTATCACCATAATGCTCTATTGTTTTTTGAGTTTGACGCTATGCAAAGTTAAAAGCTAGGGTTACTTCTGAGTCAAGAAAGGAGTGATATAATTTCATTTGTCTTTACGTCATTGTGTTCAAATTCGAACGACCAGCTCATCATAATTTACTTGGATATTGGGCTAAATCCACCTTTGTTTTTTCCCATCAAAACGTCCTCAGGACATGAGTTGAAACGGAAGTTCATTTGTGAATTTCTTTAACCATTATATTGATAGTCTTTATTATACCATATGTTTATACATAAATCTATAGTTTTAGATGGACCACCACGTTTGAGATATCTTTCTCAGGTAGTTCAGACACAAACCACGACAGCTTATTGTAGAATACTACCTACACTGAACCACGACATTTGACGGGGACATCTTATTCAGGTAGTTCAGACACAAACTACAACAGCTTATTGTTGCTAGAATACTACCTACACTAGACCACAACGTTTGATTTTCCTAATCACCTTTCTACTAACGATAGCTCATTTTAAAAAGGATTATATTACGTTACTGGGCTGCTTAAAAATAATTTGAACTGAACATTTCGAGTTTTGTATATTATTATTATATATTAGCGCGACGTTCGAGCAATTACATGCAACGTCTATCATATTAAATAAACCTTTAGGCATTGAGACCTCAAGGTTTGCTTAAAATTTAATGAAAAATTCCATGAAAAAAATAATAATAACGAATGACAAGAGACCGCGCATTTAATGTCATACAGCGGAATCTCGTGTCGAAAAAACTTGTTTGATCAGAATATAGCTCAACCAGTTCTAATCCGCTGGCTTTTCTTCCTCAGTGAAAGAGCGAAGTCCACCCAGTAAAGACCATCCATTGTCGAACTTAGGAAGAACTGAAAGCTGCTATATAAATAAAGTTTAAGTTTCAGTCTGCATTAATAATTGGGAAAATCAGTTGCTGGTCTCCGAACTAAAGAATAAACAATTTAATTTTCAGTTCCAATACCTACTCCTACGGGAAAATGCTGTCATCGGGAATATGCCCGGTACTGTTGCTCCGATATACCCGTATGTGCCGATGGGCAAAACGCCACCGTAGAGAAAGTTGTTTTCACAACTGATCCTTGTTCAGCCCCATGGAATCTGAGCGCGTGTATGGATGGATTTTATTCAACAAATGGTTTCGATGTTTTACCATGTCCTGCAGGTACGCACATGAAACACTTTGCATCCATTTTGCTGGTCGTTTCTCGCAACATGGCGCGGAGTAGTTTCAATCCCAAAAACCAGAGTGACTTCTGGGTCTTCTTAGTTAGGTAAGAGGTCCTTACATGGGAGTTGGGGCAAGGTCACGCAACCTGACGCAATCGCTCACTTTCGTTCCGTTTGTTTCCACCTGAATGGTTGCCAAATTTTGAACTGTTCAATGCGTTGTATCTAGGTTACTTCTGCGAAAAAAACCAGGTGTGTTTAAAACCGTGTCCAATGGGTGCCTTTTGTGATCAAAATATTTTGGTAAGTAGCCAGCGAACTCGTGAAATGGAGGCTATCTCTACCAGAGCTCGCCTCTTAATTTCATATCACCCACCTCCCTGTCTCCCCTAGTTTCAGCACTTTGCCCCGATCTGATATGTTGGTTAAAGCAATAATCTGACCTGTGATCACATTACATGACTTCGTTAATCAGCCTGCATCAACTGACATGTGTTTACACCTGTTATAGGTGACTGACAAAGACCGATGCGGTAGATACAAGACATGTTGTCTTCCTTATCATGACACGCCAATATTCAACGAGCACACTAAAGCTATTTTATGTCCCGGTCATCACAAACCTTTCAAATGCCTTGAAGGTTTTTACTGCCCAAATACAACAACACGGTTAAAATGCCCTGCGGGACATTTTTGTCGTGAGGGAAGTAATTGGCCGGTGAAATGTTTGGTAAGTTTAGCATTAAGAATGAAACTTCGTCTATTTCTTTGAATTCAATGAGATTTTAATGCCAAAGTAATCGTATTTTCACCCCCCAGGCGATTTCAAACTGCGGCGAAGGAGGGAAGTCACCAAATACTTTGTACATTGGAATCATCTTCAACAGTTGCCTTCTTGCAATCTTTCTTTTCATTCTTCTGTACTTTAACAACCGGCGAAAGATCAATTTCTACTTTGACTTGTACTTTCGACGTATTCGAGGCAAACGTACATTGAGCCAAAGATACAATCTGAGAGATGGAATACGCCTGGCTATCAGTCGCTTAACGATAGATCAAGATGTCGACGAGGGAACGTGTCTCAAGAAGAATGGTTATGATATCAGTTTTGAGAAACTGAGTCTAACTTTGACGACGGTAAGTTTCTTCCTAGAGGTATCATCTCTTATTGATCCAGTGTTACTACAGCAGGAAACCTAAACTAAACTAACTTTATTTATACTGGATAGTTCTATCAGTTCTAAACTGTTCTTCCTAGAAGTCCAGTAAGGATCATCTCTTATTGATCCTGTATTACTACAGGAGGAAACCTAAGCTAAACTAACTTTATTTATACTGGATAGCTCTATCAGTTCTAAACTGTTCTTCCTAGAGGTCCAGTAAGGATCATCTCTTATTGATCCAATGTTACTACAGGAGGAAACCTAAACTAAACTAACTTTATTTATACTGGATAGCTCTATCAGTTCTAAACTGTTCTTCCTAGAGGTCCAGTAAGGATAATCTCTTATTGATCCAATGTTACCACAGGAGGAAACCTAAACTAAACTAACTTTATTTATACTGGTTTGAACTCTATGGGGCCTCCTTTCATAAGTCATATTCTATTTCCATCTGCAGGGTGAAAACAAAGGAAAAGTTTTGTTACAAGGAGTCACAGGAGAAATAAGAGCTGGTCAGGTTACCGCTGTTCTGGGTCCTTCTGGGGCAGGGAAAACAACATTTTTAAATGTACTATGCGGCAAGGCCTATTACGGTGTAAGTATTTTAATGATTTATTCGATATTTGGGAACTCTTTGATAACGTATGTGGTGTTACTTTATTTCTAGAACGCTGGAGGAATTATAAAAGTAAACGGAAAGAAAGTGACGGGTATGCAGGACTACAAAGGAGTTACAGGATTTGTACCTCAGGTGAGGATACTTGATTACAACAAACTAGTCACTTGCGTATGTTCGTATTTTGCCACTTTGACCGGCGTAAGAAATTACGTACATTACAATGTCGCTAATTACAACCCCTTCCATCAGAGCCTAATTTGGTTACGAAAGTAATATAGTTTATCTTATAATTGATCTCATATACATTAATGCTACATACTCGAGAGATATTTGAAATAATTCATATTTCACAGAAGGTCTATCAACAAGCTACAGTGGATTTGGCATAATATTTTTTGGCCTAGTACGTGCGGAAAGATCAACGATCTCAGGCGATGAATTGGGGGTATCAGTGTATTCAAATTTCTTTTCATTTAGGATGACATCATGCATCGCTCACTGACCGCTAAGGAAGTACTGTACTACAACGCTGTGCTTCGTCTTCCTCCGCCGTCTGACGTCGATGAATACGAAAGAATCGTCAAACGGGTAAATAGTTATCATACATGACGTAACCGAAACTGTCCCAAAACACTTGTTCATTTACGTCTGTATTCTAAAACCTCACTAACATTTATTAAGTGTGGCAAAGCAATTATTGTTAACTGATCAATGTGAAAGTGCTGTCTTAAACCCGTTTTCCACAATTCCACTAGGCGAGTTTACTCGCGCGACGCGAAGCGAAGTTGTAACACAATATAAAATCCAAGCTCTTATTCATGTGGAAATACTGTCATATGGAGTCGTTACGATGAGATTAAGATCTTCCGTTCAATGAGTTTGAATGCGAGCAAGCTTTAGAATACAAGCGTTAGTGTTGCTATAATACTGGTTGATTTTATCAGCCCATTTTCCCTAGAGGGATAGCGTGGATTATCTCGCGGCTAACATAGTAGGAAACCTAAACTAATTGTAATCGTGTTGTATGCATCTGGCTTGATATTTTCTTGTCTTTTAAGGTGATGTCATTCCTCGGCATCAAATCGATAGCCAACACACAAATTGGAGACGAGGTACCGTCGCCTATCTCTTCCGATGTTGGTGTTAGAACTAGAAATTCTTGTCGTTTGCATGCAGATTGCTAATTTAGTATTCATTTTCTCAAAATTCTCAGGAAACTCGCGGCATTTCAGGAGGGCAGAGAAGACGTGTGAACATTGGTATGGAACTAGTGGCTGATCCAACCATCTTGTTTCTGGATGAACCAACTACGTATGTATACTAACTTCATTCTAAGTTGTGAATGTTCGACTGGATGTTTCTGTACAATCACAAGCTCCGTATTTTTCAAATTGTTTTTTCATTTGCAGAGGTTTGGACAGTTCAACCAGCTTGGTTGTGGTGAAGGCATTGAATACGGTGGCCTCGAGTACCAATATGACAATATGCTGCGTGATTCATCAACCACGATTTGAGATTTTAAGTACGTCTTTATAAAAATACTGCATTTTTAGTCGCTGTTTTAACGTCGCTTATATTGTTCATTATGAACCATTTTCGTTTATCTTAGAACTATTCGATAGGGTTATATTCCTTGGCTATGGTGGTCGTACTGTTTACTCTGGCTCAGTTGAGGGAGCCGCAACATATTTCTCTAAAATTGGATATCCCCTGCCATTAAATGTTAATCCGGCGGACTTTTATATGGACGTTATTTCTGGGTCAGTCAGTGGAACGAATGTCTATGTCAACCTCTTCGAAGAATGGGAGAAACATGAGACGATTGTTGATGAAGTTGGTGCGGAGGTCCGATCAGATGTTATTTATGGTGAAAAGGATGTGGGAATACGAAGGAATGGCAGCTCAGCCGAGACAACTGGAAACACGCCTTTGAATGAGGTTATGCCGGGCGGCAAATCCAGCGATGAAACGAGTGTCGTCACTGACGTCACATTGACCGACTTTTCTGGACGTAATCGTATGTACACTGTTACTAAATCAATAGAAACTGTTATTTAGACAGGGAACTCATTGATCCAGTGTTACAACTGGAGGAAACTTAGACTAAACTCACTTCATTTATCCTGGATAGCTCTATCAGTTCTGAACTGTTCTTCCTAGAGGTCCAGTAAGGATTATTTCTTATTGATCCAGTGTTACTACAGAAGGAAACCTAAACTAAACTAACTTTATTTATACTGGATAACTCTATCAGTTCTAAACTGTTCTTCCTAGAGGTCCAGTAAGGATCATCTCTTATTGATCCAGTGTTACTACAGGAGGAAACCTAAAATAAACTAACTTTATTTATACTGGATAGCTCTGTTAGTTCTAAACTGTTCTTCTTAGAGGTCCAGTAAGGATCATCTCTTATTGATCCAGTGTTGACTACAACAGAGATCCTAAAAACTAACTTCATTGACACTGGATAGTTCTGTTCAGTTCTAAAATGCTCTTCCTTGAGATTCAGGAATGATAATACCGTTCTTATTTTAGAAAATGAAGCCATTCAAGTTGATCCATCCCCATGCCCAGAAAGCGGCGAAGGAAAAGCAAAAATCCATCGTCTGGGCTTCTTCTCCCAACTTGGGGTATTCCTTAAACGAGAGTTTGTGCTTCAACTGCGCATGTCTAAGACTCTGTTGCTCGATCAAGCTATGGCGCTGATAGCTGGTGCGGCCCTGGGTCTTCTGTTCCGTGAGGTATTCAATATTTCAGAGCTCTTTGTGTGTTACCATTCATCCAAACATTTGATGGACATAAAAACTGCATGGTTAAAATAAAAGTTTCCTGATCAACAAACAACACTAGAAATGTACCCAACGTTCTGACCGCTTCTGAAACAGCTATATCGAGCCAATATTCTACCATTGATTTTCTGTAGATAACTATACTTGATGTACCTGAAGCTACAGTGTTTGGAAACATAGCAGTGGGTCAAATAGCTGTTGTTGCAGCTTTGAGAGGCTTCGGATTGCACAGGATGGTGTTTTGGAGGTACTTAAAATCTATGAAATTTATTAATGGAAGTAACGATGTAGTTGTTTAATGTATACGTCACTAAATGCAGTAGTCCGCCGGAAAACGGTGCATTCGACCAAGGTCGAGTTCGCCGAAAAATGGCGTATTCGACCATGCTCGTATTCACCAGAAAATGGTAAATTCGACCATGGTAAAGTCCGGCGGAAAATGGCGAATTCGACCATGGTCGAGTTCGCCGAAAAATGGTAAATACGACCATGGTCATATTCGCCGGAAAATAGCAATAACGACCATGGTCATATTCGCCGGAAAATGGCAAAAACGACCATGGTCATGTTCGCCGGAAAATGGTAAATACGACCATGGTCATATTCGCCGGAAAATGGTAAATACGACCATGGTCATATTCGTCGGAAAATGGCAAATACGACCATGGTCATATTCGCCGGAAAATGGCAAATACGACCATGGTAATACTCGCCGGAAAATGGCGAAAACGACCATGGTCATATTCGCAAAAAAATGGCAAAAACGGCCATGGTCATATTCGCCGGAAAATGGCAAATATACGACCATGGTAATATTCGTCGGAAAATGGCAAATACGACCATGGTCATATTCACCGGAAAATGGCAAATACGACCATGGTCATATTCGCCGGAAAATGGCAAATACGACCATGGTCATATTCGCCGGAAAATGGCAAATACGACCATGGTCATATTCGCCGGAAAATGGCAAAAACGACCATGGTCATGTTCGCCGGAAAATGGTAAATACGACCATGGTCATATTCGCCGGAAAATGGTAAATACGACCATGGTCATATTCGTCGGAAAATGGCAAATACGACCATGGTCATATTCGCCGGAAAATGGCAAATACGACCATGGTAATACTCGCCGGAAAATGGCGAAAACGACCATGGTCATATTCGCAAAAAAATGGCAAAAACGGCCATGGTCATATTCGCCGGAAAATGGCAAATATACGACCATGGTAATATTCGTCGGAAAATGGCAAATACGACCATGGTCATATTCACCGGAAAATGGCAAATACGACCATGGTCATATTCGCCGGAAAATGGCAAATACGACCATGGTCATATTCGCCGGAAAATGGCAAATACGACCATGGTCATATTCGCCGGAAAATGGCAAATACGACCATGGTCATATTCGCCGGAAAATGGCAAATACGACCATGGTCATATTCGCCGGAAAATGGCAAATACAACCATGGTCATATTCGCCGGAAAATGGCAAATACGACCATGGTCATATTGGCTTGAAAGTGGCAAATACGACCATGGTCGTATACGACCATGGTCATATACGACCATGGTCATATATTCGCCGGAAAATGGCAAATACGACCATGGTCATATTCGCCGGAAAATAACGAATACGACCAAGGTCGAGTTGGCGTATTCCGCTATGGTCGAGTCCGGCGGAAAATGGCGAATTCGACCATGGTCGAGTCTGGCGGAAGATGGCGTATTCGACCATGATCGGGTCCGCCGGAAAACGGCTTATTCGACCATAGTCGAGTCTTTATTTCTTTCTTTCAACGGTTGTCATGCTAAAACAATTAAAAAATTGTTGTCCATCCGCAGCTCATCAACTGAGGCTCGTAAGCCTTGTAAAGCTACCCAACTTATGATGGAGAAACTGTATCATTTTTGAGCTGTGTTTCAAATCAGTTTTCTATATTTCAGAGAGAGTGCTGCTGGTATAAATCGTTTAAGTTATTTTCTTGCCGTAAACCTGTCAAATATCCCCGTGTTGTTGATATCACCCGCCGTTTATCTGAGTATATATTATAGCATCGCCTCGTTCTTAGGTGAGTGTAAAATTCAGAGGGTAATCGTACATCAGGCAATAGTTTTTAAACTTTATTCATAATATTTCCTTTTAGCGCCATTTGCTCTGCATTATGCAGTATTTGTGTGCGCTTGGTATTATCTTTCCGGTCTGGGATACATCATGTCTCTGTTGATGACACCAAGAAACTCTCAAATGGCTGCCGTTGTGACCACAGTTATCATGGCCTTGCTCTCAGGTTAGTGATCCTCAATTGCAAACTTTCGTGTAGTTGTCATCTTCATGTAATAGCATAAACACAGTATCACAAACCAAGGATCTGTTCACCTTGTTTAATTTCGTGGATAAGCACTGCAAATAGGAAATATCTCGATAGTCAACATAGCATTGGATTGCTCGGTTAATTTTCGCTACATTTCTGGGGCCGGTTGTATCAAGCCCGTTTAGCTTAAACGGTGGATCCGTTTAGCTTAAACGGTGGATAAGTCAAAATTAAATATCACTCTTACAACTCTCTTGAATGAGTCAACTTGAATATTATGCACTGAATATGTAGTTATAAACAGTAGCTTTGTATTAAGGTCAAAAACATTTTGTTTACTTGTTGAATAAAACGATAGACGTACTTTCAAGTTTGAACTTATCCACCGTTTAAGCTAAACGGGCTTGATACAACCGGCCGCAGATATAGACTCAGAGTAATATTGCGATATTTTGTCATCACTTCAGGTGGCACGCCTGAGTTGTGCAAATTGGACGACACATTTATCGCGACAATACTTTACAACCTCTCTTTCTCGAGATGGGTTGCAGAGGCGATATTCGAGGTCGAAGCAAGGGAGAACTCTGAGGCTTTGGGGGACCTTGTGAGCAGAATGGGGAACGTAAATCATTACGATTTAAACAGTTATAATTTGTGTGTCGGAGTGCTGCTTGCTTTGGGAACTGGTTTCAGAATAATCGCTTTGTTTTTGTTCTTATTTACTAAAAGAGGACAGCAGAAGTGATATGTTGTCAGGCGCGGTATTTTTCTAATCAACATTGTATATAAAGTGTTGTACGTAAATAAATTAACGGCCGGAATTTAAAAGAGAATGCCGGCGCATAAATGGAAATATGTGCCGCGCATAATCGGGGGGAGTGGGGGTGGGGAAGGATGATGGATGTGGTGGTGTGGTGTGGTGTTGGTGTGGTGTGGTGTGGTATGGTGTGGTGTGGTATTGTGTGGTGTGGTGTGGTGTGGTGTGGTATGTGTGGTGTTGTGTGGTGTTGTGTGGTGTGGTGTGGTATGGTGTGGTGTTGTGTGGTGTTGTTTGTGGTGTTGTGTGGTGTGGTGTGGTGTGGTGTGGTGTAGTGTGTGTGGTGTGGTGGTGTTGTGGTGTGGTGTGGTGTTGTGTGGTGTGGTGTGGTGTGGTGTGGTGTGGTGTGGTGTGGTGTGGTGTGGTGGGGGTAGGAAGGAATGATAACAGAGGAATCGTGAAGGAAGGAATGGGATAGTGAAGAAGGATGAATGGTGGGATTGTGGTGAGAAAAATAAGAGAGGGGTGAGAGGAAGGGATAAGAGGAGTGGGCGGAGGGCGAGAGTATGAAGATTAAGATTATAAATACCCCGAACTTATTTAAGGAAAAAAGAAAGGAGAAATGAGAAAATGTGAAAGTACGAACATAAAAGGAAAAATAACAAATTGAAATAACAGTTTGAAATAATTTAATATAAAATAAGTTAACTGATACTAATTTCTGCCGCTCTATACACAATAACATTTTTTGCGTTGTCGTCATATTGGTTATACCATATTCAGGTGATGACTGTATGTAACGTGATTTATATTGTATCATTCATTTCTCAAATGTTCCACCTAGCGTTTTAGATATGAATATATGCGTTATGTACAACTTAACTTATTACAAATGAACGAAATTAATGCTGCTTATTGCATGGCTATGCCTATAAACATATCTGTGATCTAGAAATTTATAACAAATGTCTATGACATGCACATTCACTATTCTTTCAAAATTGTTTGTCCTAAGCTAAGTTTAGCTATTGTTCACTAAATGATGTTTAATAAGTGTTGAATACTTTGCTAATGTGCGATGCGTTTCAAATCGTCAGCAACTTTGTTCTTGGGAGCGCTGTTTACGAACCTTCCACGATGTTTATCCGATGACATTACGAAGTTTCTTCCGATTGTTTGCGAATATCTCCGATCACTTGTTTACTTTCCCGCCAACTGGTCCCGACGAAAGTCGGCATGCAGCTTTCTTCTGTGTCTTGTCAAATGGCTGGGGTTATTGAACGCTCTCGAGCATTCAGGGCAAACGTAAGGCCGTTCTCCTGTGTGAATTAGAAAATGACGTCTTAGATTGCCGGATATCGAGAAGTTTTTCGAGCACTCTGGACAGCGGTATGGTTTCTCGCCGCTGTGCACTCTGTGGTGAATAACGAGGGCGCTGTGCTTTCTGAAAGCTCGGCCACAGATCTGACATTTATGCGGTTTGTCTTCTAAAAATTGAGAAAAAATCGTCGTAAGTTCAGAGTTGACAAAGCGGTAGCATATGCCCTTCACCTATTTCCTTTCACCTATTTCTGTAACAAAATGTCATATTTTTAACCTCTAAAGTGCACTTGGAAAAGGTGAAGTACCTGTTGTCGGAAACATTCTCTAATTCTTCGCTTATGCCTCTTTGTTATACAACATGAAACATTGTTCCCACTGATCTTACCTTTACTGCTGTCACCACTGGATAACGATCCTTCCTGTGCCAAGGGGGGTGTGGCCGAAGAGTCAGAATCGGTGAGCTGATTTTCTTCGGTCCAAGAGCATGGTTCACAGTGATCTTCGCCATGGTCGTGACAGGTAGTTATCGGATTGCTGAGTGATCTTTGCATTACGAGTACGCTTGGACGATTGACATTACTAACAGTGTCATCGCTATGCCTTCGTGGCTTCAAAAGGCTTTGCTTTAGTTCCTCTTTTACACTGGGTGGTGTATAACTACGGGGTCGTTTCTCGTATAGTCTCTCAAATCTTACGCCATTTGACGAGAATGTTTCGGATTTTTCGTCCGACATTTTGGACCAACGTGCATTTTCTTCTTCGAAGGTCCTCGGTGTGGCTCTTTCTTCCTTGGGCAAAAATACCCGAGGGCCTGCTTGTGATGGTATAAAAATTCGAGGGCTTTCCTCTGGAGGTGCAGAAGCGCGGGGTCGTTCTTCCGATGGTGAAAATCGCCGGGGTGGTGCAAATCGTCTGGATCTTTCTGCTTGGAGTGTGAGCATTCGGGGTTTTTGTATACGAGACAATTCTTCCTGGGATGTTTCATGTGGTGCTTCTTTCGGCTTGCGCTTTTCATCGACTGTCTGTCCACCGCTGTAGTAATTTCTTAGTAATTCAATAGGAACATGCCTTGGTAGGGTTTTTGACCCAGTCATGTTGTAAAGGAGGGGATAACTGCGGGCGAAACTGGTTTCGCGGGCGAGGTGCGGGTAGGTTGCGCAATACGGCCACGTTTGAGAGCTAAACCGCGGACTTGGGTAGCTATGGCTGTTGAATGTATCCGTGGGACTCGTTGGCTTACTGGAAAACACAAATACTTTCCTTGAACGCGGGGAAAACTGCCGGCTACGATGATAACCGAACGGTGGAATCTTTGTTGCTTGTTTACGATCATTCTCACGCTCACGATAAACGAGTTCATGGTCTGTATCTAGTCGCTCCACATCAACCTCCATATCTTCATGACTCTCGAGTTTTGTTTCGTTCGACGTATCATCGATCTCGATTATATCCGGGGATTTGGGGCCTTTGGATTCGTCAGCGTGTCTTTCCACAGTCATTCCTGACGTGAGCAGTTCTTCGGCGGTTCTTAATGACGTGCGATATTTTAAAGCAAAATCCTCGATGGCAAAACGCCTGGCGATGCTGCTAGCTCGCTCTTCGTCGAAGTTTCTCTCCCATTGCATCTCTGATTTCGTCATAGCGATATAACTGAAGTACCTGGGAAGAGAGGAGGAGATTTTAGGACATGAACTGGCTTTTTCAACAGTCAACACGCATCTTTTTTTTGCTAGGTGATCTAAGAACACTTACGTCTTCGCTTGGCTGCTTGGCTAGGAAATTATGCATGCACATATGTTGGGTTAAGAAGCTTTTTTTACGAAAGATTCCGGCAGCGAACGTAGCGAATGGACTAAACAGCCGGAATCATCTTTGCTGAGAATCTTGCGCAATGGAAACAGGTCACTGCTTTACGTCTAACCTGTGATCTAACCGTCAAAACTTGCACTATGGCAGTGATCTGTTAATGCTTCAAATCAACGTAACCTCATATCACGATAGCCCCGTTTACATACACTATACTGTCAATTTTTTGGCACGGCACAGCTAAAATGGGTCCCCGTGCCCAGTTTTATTAGTGCCCAGGCTACCAATACGAAGCCCGGGTACGTATGAAATTAGCCATTTCCCAATCGAGCAGAGTACTGGATCTAGTCATGAACCGCAAAGCATCTACGGACTGTTTGGAGGGACAAATGATTTCAGACTTATATTTCCTGTCCCTCCAAACAGTCCATAGATGCTTTGGGGTTTGCGACTAGACCCAGTCCCAGACCCATAAGTAGGCACACGGGTACTCATTTTAGCCCTGCTGTGCCAATAAATCGAGTATAATGCAAACGGGGCATGTAGCGCGATTAATATTCAATTTGTGGTCTTCGTAGGATATACGACGACCAGAATTGACAAGTAAAATATTCCTCCTTGAAACATACTATAAGACTTCTTTGAAGTTAATGGCAAACGCTCTAAGAACTTGTTTATATTATTCATTCGTGCAGAAGAAGTGTACTTTCTTAACTGTCTACGTGTTCCATTGAAAAGACACCACCAGGTAATTAGGCGTGACCATATGGTTTGAAAAACAACACTATACCCTATCATTGTGGGATAATAGTCACGAACAACAGCACCAGTAGCTGGATTAATATTAATGATAACTGCGAAATGCGAATGCGTCGCAAAATCGCTAAATTGTGTGCGGTTTTGCAATCAGAGCTTAGCACAGGAAGTTGTAAGCCACTGGTGCAAAACACCTCGAAGTAAGCATAATGAGGATTGCCCCTCCTCCTCTGTATATACCCGTAAGGCAAATATCTAGAACATTTTCCCATAAATTGTGAGCGTCTGTCGGTCTTTACAGAAATATTTATTTTACAACAGGTGGCAGGTCCCAGCGACGTTTCACGCTATCGTGTAGAGATGCATCGCCAACACGAGGTCTGATAAACAACAATGCAAGTATCGCTTACTGTGTCAAAACACACATTATTAGCCTCGAGGCTCACTTGTAGTAATACGTTCGTGTTGCCATTTATAACTCTATATCAGCTACAAATAAGCATACATATCATTGCCGCCATAATTATCTTTATTGACATTAATCATGCATCATGTCAGGCTGATGAATATACTTTAGTTCGCTTTCTTAAAATTTTAACAGGTAAACAGCCCCATTCTAGTTTGGCGTTGAAAAGATGACATTATTTCAAAAAGCTTTGCAAATCTAACAGAATACCTAAAAATAACCCTAAAAATCCTAGATGTATCCTATAACGTCATCATAATTCGCTTCACCGGAGCGATCCGCTAGACAATTCATATTTAGGAATACATGCAATTTGGTGATTTTCCGAATTTGCAACAGTTTTTTCGAATTCTGTTATAAGAACTTGATTCAACGAAATTTTGTTTATTCGGTTTTTGGTGTTCGTCTACTGTATCAAACGGCACAGAATTGCAACAAAATAATAGGAAGGGTAGTAATTAAGCTATAATTGCAATGCAGACACGATTGCACGATTGCAATGTATACACGAAAGATTGCATTTAATAAGAATCGTATACGTGTTCATATAAAGCTATACGCACTGACAATATACCTGGCACACTTCTAACAAACACTACTCGTTTCTATTTACACCCATGCAGTACGTATTCTGGCAATATACAAACCTTGACATCTTCCAACAACTTAGCCCAAACTGAAAGTACTGTAAGAAACTTAGTTCTCAGAAACTTGGGTTTGTGCGAAGGGTTACAGCGTCTGTACTGCACTTAGACGTTCTGAATTGTTTAAGCTAACTAGCATCACTCTATTATGTTGTGCTTTACATCTTAGCCAATTGACTATAATTGAGTTGGCAGGACTCTCGAGTTGTGAATAATATATTTATTGTAATGAGCTGCCCCAATCAGACACACTGCCTTAATTGTGGGTAAAGTTCTAGTAAATTCTTTGCAGCCACTTGTGTATTGACATATGACATAGAGTGCTACACAGACCCTCCCTAGTATTATAGTACAATGATCATTAGCCCTTCAAGAGTGTAGATATAGCAATATAGCGACATGCACAACTATAGTACTTATTTCCAATGTTCTTAACACATATGGAACATTCATTGAAAAAACCTTACCCCCTCCATGGAAAACTCAATAAAGTCACAAGTACAGCAGAGCTATAACATAATCGTTATTGGGTGTACATGATGCCATCTATGTTATAATATTTGCGCATAATTCCTATAAATCTGCACTGCTTTCCCGAAGAGACCACAAAGTAAACAAATTGAGTAACTATGAACGGTTCTCCGTGGAGGTCTGTTTTGAACAAGTGCGATTACTTATTGCACCTGCACTGAAGATTTTAGCACAATATCAGACTATCAGTCTTTAGGCTTCTCTCCGTATAGAAATTCCTATATTCACCATATTGGTTAATCGACGGTGTTTCTCTGAGTCAGATAAAAACACCGAGTTGAAATTTCTTTATTTATATATGAAATAAATATATAGGCTATAGCGGGCTCTCTAAATATTTCCTTTTGTGTGCCTGCTACAGAAGGCTGACCTAAACTAATTTTATTTATACTGGATAGCTCTATCAGTTCTAAACTGTTCTTTCTATAGAGGTCCAGTAAGTATCATCTCCTATTGATCGAGTTTCACTATATTAGGAAACCTAAACTAAGTTAACTTTATTGATACTGGATAGCTCTATCAGTTCTAAACTGTTCTTCCTAGAGGTCCAGTAAGGATCATCTCTTATTGATCCAGTGTTACTACAGGAGGAAACCTAAACTAAACTAACTTTATTTATACTGGATAGCTCTAGCAGTTCTAAACTGTTCTTCCTAGAGGTCCAGTAAGGATCATCTCTTATTGATCCAGTGTTACTACAGGAGGAAACCTAAACTAAACTAACTTTATTTATACTGGAAAGCTCTATCAGTTCTAAACTGTTCTTCCTAGAGGTTCAGTAAGGATCATCTCTTATTGATTCAGTGTTACTACTGGAGGAAACCTAAACTAAACTAACCTTATTTATATTGGAAAGCTCTATCAGTTCTAAACTGTTCTTCCTACAGGTCCAGTAATCATCATCTCTTATTGATCCAGTGTTATTACAGGAAGAAACCTAAACCGAACTAACTTTATTCATACTGGATTATTCTATCAGTTCTAAACTGTTTTTTTCTATAGAGGTCCACAGATCATCTCCTATTAATCTATAGCTTTGCTTCAAACATTGTCTTAAGTTAAGGTGTGACTTGAAAGCCCGTTGTGCGCATCAGTGATAACTCACTGTCCTGCGTGCTTCTCAATGACAACTGAGCAGTATATTCCATGGTTGGCATTGTCAATCGTTCTAAATCAGCGCAATATCCAAAACGTCGGAAATTAGTGCACTTATGAATGTTGATAGTATTCTACAATAAGCTGCCATGGTTTGTGTTGGAACTACCTGAAAAAGATATCTCAAACGTGGTGATTTAGTATATAGGTAGTATTCTACAATAAGCTGTCGTGGACTGATTTGTGTCTGAACTACTTGAGAAAGATATCTCAAACGTAGTGGTCTAGTGTAGGTACTATTCTACAATAAGCTGTCGTGGTTTGTGTCTGAACTGGGCTGAAAAAGATATCTCAAACGTGGTGGTCTAGTGTAGGTAGTATTCTACAATAAGCTGTCGTGGTTTGTGTCTGAAATACCTGAGAAAGATATCTCAAACGTGGTGGTCCAGGGTATTCTACAGTAATTAGCTGTCGTGGTTTGTGTCTGAGCTGAGCTGAAAATGATACCTCAAACGTGTTGATTCGATAAGGAAAGTACTGTACAATATATAACCTGTGCCGGATGTTGTGTGTCTGAACTATACCTGCATGAAAAGATATCTTGTCCATAGACAGTAACCTACTTAACGCCGGGCCCTCTTCTATATTTTCTGTTATGGCTTTGAAAGCCTTAATTTTTCACACAATTATTTCACGATCGCAAACTAGCGCACTGAATCACACCCTGTTAAAAATACGTATAGCTATATGTCCATCACCATCGTCATCGACCTTGCATGTATGAATCATCTTTTTTATTGTTCGTCCAACACGTGGCTTTTGAAAAGCGATGATTGAGAATTTGAGATCAGCCCAAAGAATACATCTGTAGCTACTATTCCACGAGCCATTATAAGACGTTATTTATAAATCTTTGTCGTTTTATCATAAGCTGCCTTTGATTTTAGAGTTTTTATATGCATTGCAATCCAGAAGGTGTCAAAGATATCAAAGTTAAGAGGAATATTGGTCAGTCTTTTATTTCACGCATGTATAATATACAAATGCATGCATAATGCCGTACGGGATTGTTGGAGTAAATTTTCACCTCATCTTTGCATGCGGCCAAAGTTAAAACTTTGATATCCGTCGTTGAACTAACTACTACAAAACAAAACTTGCATTGCATGCATATATGCTTAAACACAAACATGCACCAGCTTTGTCAGGCACCCAGATACATCGGCTGTATAGAGGTCAAGGGTGTCATGCACCCGAATATATATATTTATATATATATATATATATATATATATATAATATATATATATATATATATATTTATACATATATATATTCTATAGCAGATATTTCATGCATGATAATATGCAAATATATGGCAAGTCGACATATGTATGCATGCGGTATTCCTACACCTCACGAGTTTGATAAAAAATTATGATAACATTTCTGAAATCATGAAGTATAATTTTTACCTTAATTAGTTAATAGGTAATCGTTCGCTTCTCGTTCTCGGGGTGGGAACGATAGATAAACAACGGTGTAAGGCTGGAACTTTGGTATATTTACCGTCTTTCTTCCTAGAACAAGAGAGATTATGTGTTTGAGCAGCTAAGCCTATATATAGCTTGTGCACATGCAGAAAAACGAAATTGCATGCGCGGAATTATTAGAGGATGCTCTAGGAATGATGAAGATTTCTATATAAATCTATAGCTAAAGAGAGAGAGTTGCAGTATTGTTGTAAACTTGAAAATTCCTTGATAACTTGAATTCATGGAGGTTGATTGAATTAAGCTAGTAACTCAACTTACTTGTTTGTAAGTCCTCGTGTGTAAAGAAATAAGAACCGTACCCAGCTTTGCTGCCTGCTATAATTCACTACAAGTTCCTATATATCGATTATTCTTGTCCAAAATGCGGCTATCCTGGCCCAAAAGGCAAACTTTATTGATTTGCAGATAATATTTATTCTGAGAACAAGCGTGTCTGAGCTCTTCTTTAGCAATGTGATTGTTTTTTGTTTTCCCTTACTTTTACCGCCTCCGAGACGTGATCGACTGACGTACAGATTGTACATGACCAGCCAAAAGCTTTTAGAATAATGTCGTAGTCTCGGCCACTGGTAGTACGTCAAACCACAGCTAGTGACGTTGCGATTGCGTCAGCAGAAGCTCGCGCGAGCAAGGCCGCGTGAAATTATGCAATGTTGTTGACTTCCGAACGAAGGCAGATGTTTCGAAAGTGATTTGCAATATCCAGACTGGGCTATTCCGTTCATTTGTTTGGAATTTGTAAGTAAAGAATGTCCAGTTTTGTGCTTTATTCTTACCATAGTTCAGCGCGTGTCGTTTGACTAAAAACGTCAGCGTACTGCGTACCGGCCGTTATTTTATATACTTTTATTAATTAGTAATTTGTTCGCCTTATACGCGCTGTATTTGTCTTTTATCGCCACGATTTTCGGCTGTGCATACTCGCAGGTCGGTATATTAGGCTGTAATTAGACACAACGGTAAGTTTTTTATTCACTCGCGTCGTCCGTATGTCTGATGTCAAAAGGAAAGGGCAACTTATGGCATACCCGATATATCATTTTGCAAGTTGTGTAGCTATGCATGTCGCCACGTTTACGACCGTCAGTTCTTTCCAATGCTGTTTTTGATACCGTTGACTCAGAGTCTCAGTCTTTGGCGCATGAGGAATTCGAAAACGTTTTTATATTGCTTGTTTCATATATACAGACTTAGCAAGAACAAACAAGTTTGTTCCTGTGATGCAAATTTGACGGTATGATACAATTTGATAATGCGATTGTTGTTGTTCGTTTGCAAGTGGGTATTAAACCCGATGCCGTATGCAATACGGGTGCTTTAAAAGCGTGTTATTTGCATATATGCATGTTTTCCTACGTTTAACAATTGAGCTATGCAACTTATTGCCTATACTTCTAGTCAATCGAGTGCAAGTATAGTATAGTTTCCCATAATAAATTTCTATGACCTTTGGCATTGTTGTTTTGGAAAGCCATGCATGCATGCGTATGCGTACTAATTTTTTAACAAGCAATGCTAATCGAAATGCGTCGGCTATCTGAATCTTCTAGTTCTAGCGTCAACAAGATTTCAGGAGTCTTGGTTATCACTTAAATAAAAAAAAATCGTAGTCGTAAACAAAAACTAGACAAAGCAAAGAGGTGACTCTTTTCTTCTAAGACTATAAGCATACCGGTGCGTACAAATATAGGTGTCGCGGCTATCACTCTGAAGTGTGTTGTATACACTGTACATTTCTACGCAGTGATGTACTAACAATACCGCAAACCAGTTGCATCGGGGCTTTCATTGTTTCATTGTAATGTTTAGATTTGAAATGTCGATGAGTATTAGCCTTCAATTAAGCACTCGATGTCGTCATGGTTGCTAAGGCTACAGATCAGAAGCAGTGCATTATGCGTCCAATGGAAAAATTTTCATTGCAAATAAATTTTCGATTTTCAGTCCAATTTTCGAAGGCAAAAAAACACATCAATTATATCATTTTCTGTGCTTCAAAACATTGAAGTTATTATGTAAATGTTGAACAACACATTAGTCCAGATCTAAATTAAAAGGGATTCTGTTTAAAAATACTCGAAAAGGGGAAAATTATTCGTAAGGCGTTGCACAACTTCATTTAGACTGAACCGCTTTGTCATTTCATGTTCCTAGAGGTCCAGTACTCAGTAGGGATCATCTCCTATTGATCCAGTGTTACTGCAGGAGGAAACCTAAACTAGACTAACATTGTTTATACTGGATAGCTATATCAGTTCTAAACTGTTCTTCCTAGAGGTCCAGTAAGGATCATCTCTTATTGATCCAGTGTTACTACAGGAGGAAACCTAAACTAAACTAACATTATTTATACTGGATAGCTCTATCAGTTCTAAACTGTTCTTCCTAGAGGTTCAGTAAGGATCAACTCTTATTGATACAGTGTTACTACAGGAGGAAACGTAACTGACAGCCTAATTAAAGTACATAAAGGAAATACCCTTCAGAAATTCTTCCTGATATGATCATGGTGTTTTCGCTGGACACCCCCACTGGAAATCTCTGAACTATTCTGAACTGAACTACATCTTTTGTTGATCAAGTGACAGTGTTTAATCAGCTATATGCAGAGCGAAAAAAATCGAAAGCGTTCTTCCCTGCATGATGTGAAAATAAGGTTATAGTAAAGACGTCAAGGGTCGAATGAAGACTTGCATGTGACGTAGAAACTTGCGTGTACTCTGTTTATCTTCAGTAGTCGATATTTGGTTCATCTTAAAAGCACTCAAAACGCACGAGTTACACTGGTTCTAAAAATACAAACAATGTTTTCGAACGAAGGTTACTTTTCGTCCTGTCGTGCTTTGCCTAA